ATGTTGGCGTGTACGTGTAATTATATTGTTTTCATTGTAATTTGTAAGTCTGATAGAAGAGCATGTAACAGCGTTAGATATGTTTCTAAGAAATCTTTAGTATAATAAAGAGAGTGACATATATTATAAATCTGTTTAATAGTACTTATAAGATTTAGTAATTATAAAACTCGAAGAAGAGCTACAAAAGAGATAACGTGTAAATCATGTTTATGGTGTGCTCTCTATGTATGTCTTTGTATATTTGTTTGTATATGTGAGTGAAACTAACAGATATCAATAAAAAAATATTTATAATAAATAAAAAGAAAAGTCTGCATAGGGCAGCTAGAAGTGCAAATACAAGAATAATATAATCTTTACACTGATATCATAATACACGTATTTTTTGTGTGATGGGTAAATGTTCACACGTTGTCATTAACATAACATTGATATATAAATTAGAATTGTTCACCTGTTCTGTATAGATTGTGCGTTTCAATATCTTTTTATTAATCACTTTGTCAGACTTGCAGCTGTCCTGGGTTCCAGTGGGTCAGTCACGATTTGGGGCACCAGGCCCGCCACTCCATGTTTTTTTTTATCAAACCAGGTGACTGTGAGAGAATTTCCTGCGGCCCTAGAGTAATAGTATTCTAGTACTTTGTGCTAGGGGCTTAGAGTACCAGGTGTAGATCAGGGCTACGCAAACTTGAACATTCTAGATGTTCAGGACTACACCAACCATGATGCTTTGCAAGATTTTTGAATGTAAGAGCACTCTGGGAGATGTAGTCCACAGCATCTGGAGTGTGTGTATTCTATTACTTAGAATATTCTTAATCTATAGTGCTTGTTTATGAAGACCCATTTTTATATAGCAGAGCAGAATGTTTTATATTTATTTTTTTGTAAATGTGAGTGTATGTGCACTGAGTACAACGTTTATCTGTGGTTAGAGTGTTGGCTAAGTGGGTGAACACTTAATGTAAAGCGTATGGACATATCGGTGAGTAAGCAGTGAGTGACCTTGTGACTCAGAGAGCTTTGGGGGGGTGGAATTTCACTGCAGTTCTCGGTGAAAGTGAAACATATTGCCAAATAGTTAGTAAGTTACCAGTTAAATAAGAAAACTGTAAAAAAAACAGAAGCTTAGTACTGAATGACGCACACTTTTTAAAATAACACAGGACAGATAAAACACAGAAGGGAAATTACCTCCAATAAACTCAATCTTATCACGTACAGGCAGCTACTCCTATTCCTTCCTCGATCTAGCTGTACATCTGTCTGCCATTCTGTCTGAAATGCCATGACTGCTCTGCCCCAAGACAAATAAACAGTTTACCCGCAGCAAGTGGATTGTGAGGTCAGCACATGATGCCATAGATCAGGAAACATGGTTGAGATGCACAGTCACTCCATCCTAAATTTAACATTTCCAGATTCTGCGTCTGGTACCCCGCTTTTAGAGAGACAAGTTCCCAATAAACACAGCGCAAGCGAAACGTTAGACTTGATAAAAAAACAATTATTGAAATCACTCACATATAATAGAGCTAGTTCGCTTACTTGGCATAGAGCAGTTTAACTCAGAGCTGGGAGCAAGTGGCTCTGGTATATGTGAGTGATTTTAACAAGTAGTCCATCAATGTTTATTTAAGTGTTTTGGGCTATCTACACTATTTTGTTTTTACTCATCTCAAATCACTCACATGTAATGGAGCTACTTTGCTTACTTCTCATAACATAGTTTAACTCAGAGCTGGGAGCAAGTGGCTCTGGTATATGTGAGTGATTTTTCTTTTTCTTTTTTTGTCAATCTTTCTTTTATTGTGACATTGGATTCTCAACGTACAGAATAAAGAGAGTCATTACTGGATAAAACAAAACATACGTGTCAGCATTGCTTGTAATACACTCCCAAGAAAGACTGCCACATTTTTATAATATATAAACAGGTAAATACAGTCTGGTTTAAACTAGTGCTCACAAATAATGAGAAAATGCGTATACTGTGCTTTTCACCAGAAATACATAGTAAAGTATACATACTATTTACGCTATGGTATAAGCTAGATTAATATAACTAATGTGATGATGCAGGTGCATAACTGTGCTGGTAAGGTATGAACGTATTACTGAAATTTGGCTAAGTGGGTTTGAAACGATCCGATCCACATCGGTGCGATTTGCTATCAAGCCAAACAGGTTAGTATGATTAGGTGGAAACATGTTACCTCTAAACATAAACATTGTGTATTAAGTCGTGTGTGCCATGTTCCCTGTGTCTATTGGACTGCTGTCAATCTAGGATATGGGATACTCTAGTATAGCATTGCATAACATACCAATCCTTGGGTATATGCTTTTGATAACTCCAGGAAATTGTGTATGCTGTATCGGCTAGTCTAAGCATGTGTCCATACTTCACATACTATGGGTTCGCGGAAAACGTGTGTGGCATCGTTTAAGGCGTTTGTGTGGCATAGCATATGTGAGACATTCTAGTGTGAGCAAGTTTAAGTAGTCCAACGCTCGGAGTACACAGTTCCGTTAATAAGCAACAGCTATGAGTCCAGCAGATTTGTACTGATAGAGAGGTTCCGGATTGGGGGATCCAGCGGTAACACGCTGAGGGATCCACCAATGCTCCACAGACAGGTAGAAAAACATTAAGTCCAGGGGGACATGTATGCCAGGTAGGGGGGTTTCACATAGCGTCTTCACGGGCCTTTCGAGTCATGTCCTAAGGGGTTATCATCCGGTAGCGGTCTTGGACTGGACTTCGGGGCAGTGAGATCGCAGTCAGCCGATACCTTTCCTGGGTATAGCGGCAGCTTGTGTTGGGATTGTCCACTGGGGGGCAGAGGGGTGCGAGCTTGTATGGGCCGCCATCCAGCCACAGGTCGGTGTGAAGGCCTATACCTGCAGTCCACAGACTCGGTGTCTCAACGAGGCCGGGTCTTCCCTTTGTCGGGCGCCATGGAGAGCTTGGGTGTTTTGCCGCCGCCAGTGGCGGACATGCTTCCGGCATTGTGGTCGGTACCGTGGAGGTTTTCTCCTTGCGGCCTTCTGCCTGGGAAGGCATTTGATGCGGTCAGTGTAATTTGTGCTATGTGATTCGCCGCGTGGTGACCACCCCCCTTTCCCCCTTCCGACATCTTGTGCCACTGCCTTATTATGATACTGCTCTTGCCTGCTGCGGTCCTCCAGGTGTCTCTAGAACCTCTGGAAGAGCCTGTCAAGCTGTTCCAAAAAGTGGTCCACAGGGTTGGTGACCTGGGGACCTTGCTGAGTGCGTGCTGGCTGTTGCTGCTTGGACGTGGGCACCATTTTGTGAGGCCTTCTGATCGTGTCGCTCCGGTAATGGAGTGGCTCGTCCGCTTGCTGAGGCGTGGGTCTGGGGCTGGTGGGGACCGGGATAACCCCCACTGGTCCAAGGGGGGGGGGGTGTTATTGCAGGGGACCGTGCTGTAGTGAGATTGTGATGCGGCCGAGAGAGAGCGGCCGTCCCTCCCCCGGCTACTCCACTTGCCATGCTGCGGGTCAGGCTGCGCCGCTGGGCTCCGGTTTCTGTTGGGCGATCGGCGGGATTCAGGTACCGTTAGGCATCTCGCTGTGTACCGGTCATCCCCCCTTGTCAGATTGCTCATTTCTGGTGTGGGGAAACACGGATGGGTCGGATAATATGCTCGCTATCGCCGGAGCTAAAAGCAGACGCGTCCGGCCATTTTGGCTGTCAGGCCCCGCCCCTTATATGTGAGTGATTTTAACAATCAGTCTATCGAAGTTTAAGTGTTTTGGGCTATCTACACTATTTTGTTTTTACTCATCTCAAATCACTCACATGTAACGGAGCTACTTCGCTTAATTCTCATAGCCTAGTTTAACTCAGAGCTGGGAGCAAGTAGCTCTGGTATATGTGAGTGATTTTAACAAGCAGTCCATCGAAGTTTATTTAAGTGTTTTGTCCTATCTACACTATTTTGTTTTTACTCATCTTTTAGGACAATGTGTAGACTGTACGCGAGGAAAGATTTATGTAATAGTTTTGTACATTTCTGCTCTTTGTGTGTTTTTTTTATCATAGCTGTCAAAGTACATTACTTCGTTTTTATGTTGTTCAGTGTCTCTTTAATATTATTTCAAGGGGGTCTAAAGTGGTTCTATCCATGCAACTAGTGGTATCCTTTCACTTTTTGCAACCAAGCACCGCGCGCATTGTTGGTTAGCATTGTAACATACCGTTATATATACAAAATGTAATATTAATTTCACAACACACACATAACATGTACCCCAGGCTGGACTCCTGTAAGTGGGTTGTGAGGTCATCCTGTGATGTCATAGGGAGGCATTTACATTTTTATACATGTATTATACAGTAGGGTGTGTTTTATAACTTTTTTACTAAATTGTTAAAAATCTGATTTTATTATGAGTCCTTTCTATAAGTTAACATTTAGTGCAATTAGAAAAAGAAAACTTTTTTTTAGCTAAGCATGGATTCCTTTTAAAATAGGGAAGAGATCAAATAAATATTGTGTCTATTAATACAGATACAGATATTTGGAATGTTATTAATACCAATATTATTTTCAAATAATACAATTAAAAACAGGGCTCGTCCGGGATTTGAACCCGGGACCTCTCGCACCCTAAGCGAGAATCATACCCCTAGACCAACGAGCCAATATATCCAGCCATGCACACTATATGCCATACAAGCATCTATACACACGCTGTCATTGGCCGAGCGCTCTTAACCAATGAGTGTTGAGCTCTACCTCTCAGGTGACAAATGAGGTGGCGGCACAGGTATGACAGACAATCCTCCGAACCAATGAGCTGGCTGCGAACTCGAACAAAGGGCTGGCTGCCTGGCTGTGCCAATAGTAGGCGTGGCTATCTCTGATAGACGCGTGTGGCGGGGGCGTGGCTCACTCGCTGACCAATGAGGTGGTAGGAGGAGAAGCAGGGCGGGGCGGGGCGCTTTGCGACGCGGCGTAGGTGGGGTTTCGGCAGTGCTTTGCGGTAGTCGCACAGTGAAGATGGCTGAGCTGCGGGCGGTGGGTTCCCCGTGCGGCTGGCGGTGGCTGGTCCTGCTGGTGTCGGTGCTGTGTCTTGGTGAGTACCCGGGGCAAGCAATTAGGCCCAAAGCATCTTAAACTCCCATGGACTCCAACTCCCATCACCCTCTGACCCATGGAGTTATTGAAATGCCTGGGAGTAGTAGGCCATCAGCATTTATGGGCAGAGCCTGAGAGCCCTGCGGTACAGAGCCCATTATACAGGCTGCTAAATACAGGCTCTCCTCCATGGATTCTATCAGCTCACTGTGCAGGTCCTCTCACCCTGCCTGATGGGCAGCTCTGGGAGTGTGTCTGAACTACATAGCCCACAATCCTGCCAACTCTTCCCTGCTCTGCTTAGGGACTGCCTCCTTGTATACGAATTGCCTGCTCTCTTGTAATATTTAGTAACCTTATCTACATTGGGGAATCACAGGAGTTGTAGTTCAGCAACACCTGGGGGTGCTGGAGATTGAGACACAGATCCATATAAGGAGGAGAAGCCAACCTTCAGCACTCCAGATGTTGTGGACTACACGCACTGAAAGGGGAGCGTCCCCTTTAACGTTTAAATGCTCTATAGCACAGATGTCCTAAAGGTAGGTCTCCAGGTGTCTCAAAACTACAACGACCATGAGGCTTTGGCAAGCAATCACTGATGTAAATAGAGAATAACTGGGGATCTCCCTTAGAAACGCTGCTGCTCTATAAGCCACATCAGGGGAAGGCTAGCTTCAGCACCCCAGATGTTGCGGACTACAATTCCCATAATGCTTTCACAGCCCAAAAAACACACAGGCAAAGCACCATGGGAGATGTAGTCCACAACATCTCTAATATTGAAGCTTCCTTGCTCCTGGACTACATCCCTCTAACAGGTCTTACAAACCCCCTGACTCCCAGCCAGGCTGAGAGTGATGTGAGTTAGAGGGATGGCAGTCGAGCCTGCCCTGGGTGAGCTCAGTGTTACCCAGCCCGCCCTGGGTGAGCTCAGTGTTACCCAGCCCGCCCTGGGTGAGCTCAGTGTTACCCAGCCCGCCCTGGGTGAGCTCAGTGTTACCCAGCCCGCCCTGGGTGAGCTCAGTGTTACCCAGCCCGCCCTGGGTGAGCTCAGTGTTACCCAGCCTCCATTGGCTGGGAGGGTCACCTGCAGTGTTAATTTTGGCGGCAATTTATTTACTTTTAGTCCGTCTTTTGACTAAAAATCAGTTTGAATCCTCTGAATTGTTTTAGTTGACTAAAATTGTTGGTCGAAGAAATAAACACTGGTCATCTGGCAATGAATTCCTTTCAAACACTGGGATTAATGTCATGTGGATGTAGGTGACCACAGGCAACCAAGCACTCTTACCTGGATAATGTCTTCATGAAATTCCCAGTACCATAGCCACTAAGCTCTCTGTAGTGGTTATGGTGCGAAGAGTTTCCATGTAAATACATTGTTAAACAGAGCAAGAAATAGACTAAATACCTTGTAATTTCTCCATGTAGTGTTTTTATTTTTGCGTTGTAGAGTCTTGCCACACGTCTGCAAAAAACGTACCCACAGGCGTAAATAAATGAAACTAAACACATATTGTTAGTTGGAAGTATACACTTGTAGACTGCAAGTTTGTTGGTTGAAGGGTCATTGTCTGTTGTGTGGTTTCCTGTCTGCGTAGGGTGTCTCTCATGTAGAATGAGCGATTGAGATTTATACTTTGCAATTCTAACATCCTTTTCTGTACTGAGGTCTGTTTTGAACACAGGAGGTGTTTGTTTCCTGGTATTTCATTGTATTTTTCCTGGTTCAGGAATCATTGTGTGGACTATTACCCTGAAGTAACACAATGGCAGGTGATTGGAGTGTTCATACTGTGTTCTTGTATGCGAATACCTTGAGTTTCTGTTTGGACTGTAACTTTAGTTTTGTCTGTAAGGCAGTGCTGTAAAATTTTGTATGGCATTAAAAGGCTTTCTGTGGGCCACCAGGAAAATAACACATACCCATTTCAGGATTACAGGTCATATGGCTGGTACTTTTCACAAAATCTATGTCTACATGGGCATCATTGCAGACAGCACAGAACATGTAACTGTTAGACTGAGAACTGAGCACCACAACCACTTCTTCACTGGCTGCGGAAGGAAGGGGGCTTTCAGTGTATTGGCACTGCATGTATGCTGTGAGTTTAAATGGAAGTAGTTTGAAATTGAGCTCATGCATTATACTATGCCTGGATGGATAGAATTTGATAAAAGCACAATAATGAATTATGCAGACAGTTTGCAGAGGCGGATTTTCTCTGTATACGCAGAGCCAACAGCTGCTGTTAATACGTACTGCGCATGTTTTAAAGCATGTTCTCTTTCTCTCATGATCGCTCATGTTTTGGGAGGAAGGGATATCTGAATCAGAATGCAATTTGCTTTCCATGCCAATATTTATTTCAGGTCCTCTTTTTTTTGTAGGGTTTCTGAGAGAATGAAAGGCTATCTCCCAGCACCTCTCCTTAGTAGCTGTCTTCTAGTCTAATAGGCTTACTTCGTGTTAATCCTAAACTCCCAGTATAATGGCTGCATTATCAGCACGTTCATGCTTACTGCTGGCACAGTCTCTCTTCTTGTCATTGAATTCATTTGCTGAGTACTGGATCAGTAAGTGAGAAATACTGGGAAATCCTACGGCAATGAGGACCTTTTTAATTTTAGTTTTTTAAGCTACTGTCATTTTTTTACAATGAACGTCACTTGGACTGCAGAGTCTTAATTACCAGCCCCATTGCCCCCTCCTGCATTAAGAGTTTCGTGTCCTAGCAGGCCTGTGTGAGTCACTGTACATGTGGGCAACATGCTGATGAATTAAGAGGAAGAAGGTGAATTTACATTTTTATTTTTTTTTCTCCTCTGCAAGACCTCACTGAAATCAAATTTTGATAAGTGTAAGCAGGATGTGCAATCAAAAAATACAAGTAGCCATTGTACAACCTATTTATCTTAATGCCCAAAGTAGTTGCATAACAGGTTCATTTTAAGGGCAGTTAATGGTGATTGGGCTACAGTTCATTTACAGACTTACAAAGAAGAAAACATTGAGGTTTCACAAGATTTCCATTAGAACAAACGATGACGTAAAAAATAACACCAACACTGGACAATAGAACATCAATGTAAGATTTTCCACAAACGGGGTGTTTTGCCTACTAAGGCCCATTATCTAAGGCAGTGTGAAGCCTGCTTGGATTTTAGCAATAATCATTTTTGGGCAGAGTATGATTGAAAGGTTTCTTACAAAATATCAAAGACCAACAAGCTTAATATTTATACTTAACAGAAGCATGAAACATTTTATTTAATTTACAATACTTGTAAACATCGAGTGCTGAATTTTTTTAAAAATAATTTTGTCTATATTTTTTTTTTTTTATCATCTAAATGTGCTCACCCTGTTCACAATGCTTCTCTAGAAGAACCGTTTTGATTGGATGCTGCGCTGTGTGAACAACGAAATTGTCCAGACTTGGCTTAGGATTTTAGGAACCTGGGAAAATATTTAATTAAAATTTTCAATCAATTAGATTTTTCTCTTTAATATGTGTGTTGTGAGGTGGGTTCTTGCATTTAAGTTTATCCAATGACTGAGTTCCTCCCTCTTGGCTCCCTGTCAGTCTTCATTATAAGCGCTGGCATTTTCAGTCTGTCAATGCCAAGGATAATCATTACATGCAGTAAGTGGGGATACTGCCTTTGCCCCCTGACTGTTTATTTAATTGTGTAACTTTCAAAGTAGTGATATTTTCCCTTTAGCATGCTGAACTGCTTAACAGGACATTCACCACTTATGTTTATCGGTAAACCATATCCCTGTGTAGACTTGGCATTCACTGTAGCAGCTTACACATTGCAAATTGGGAATTTTTTTGGTTTGTGTCTAGACTAGACAAGTAGTCTTGTTTGTCTTTAAAAATTTTTTGTGATTTTTCTGTATGCCGGGGAGGGGTGAGGTTATTACTATAGCTTATTACAAGACAACAAGCCCCATCATCCTCTGCTAATCATATATCCGACCCCTGCTAAATGGTCAGCCTAGGTTTAGGCTCATGTATGGCTGAAGGACGACGGAAATCCAAAACATTTGAAAAATGACAATCTATGTACTACGTCTGTAATTGCGAAACTCTGTACATAGTGTAAATGTAGCAAGGCTGTTAATCAACGTTTCGTGGAAAAGAATTTGTGGAAGGTTTTTTTTTTTTTCTTTTCAGATAGTATAAACTTGCTGCTTGTGTCTAAACTTTTCCATGAAGATTTTTTATTTATTTATTTTTTATGGTCCTGAGCTATCTGCTTCCCCTTTCCAGCTGTGAGTCTACATGTTCCGTTTCTAACTCTTACCACTGTTTGTCCATCTCCACTGTGCGCTGACAGACTTCTACAGCTGGTGAGCGCGTCTGGCTTCTGCTTCCATTGGCCAGTCTCAGCCAACGAATTGACATTAGTCAGCCGAGATTCTTATTATTGTCGTGGTGAAACACTGCGCATACAAACTGCAGGCACTATAACAACACCAAATCACTGAAGTTGTCATGGTGCTTGGAGTAACCCGTTAATCTTGCTCCTGTCTTGTCGTGCCAACATAGCTTGTGTCATAGGAATGTGACAGAATGGACGCCACGTGCAGGTGTAGCAGTTTGTTACAGGTGGAATCATTTTTCTGACTCTGAGTCTGTTGTAGTTGGTGTTGATCAGATCCCTTTCTTTTTCAGTAATGTTTAACATCTAACATTCATTGTAACATGAATAGTTCTACCATCCTGTAAACAGTAACTCTCAGATTCTATAGACATTTAAAAAGGAAGTTATTTTGTTTTTGTCCTGGAGATATCCTCCTGATCAGATATGGCTTCCTCCAGTGTGATTTTAGCTGGAAAGCCGCCTGTCAGGAAGCAGCTGGTTAGAAAATTCAGTGCAACATCCAGGACAAGTATGTCTGCGAAGGGTATTTACTAAACAGGGATATATGGTTGACAAATGAGAGGCAGAACTTGCTCTGAAATGGGATGACTGCAGTGATGGAGATATATTGATTGCACTTCACTGATTTACGCTCTGCATTTAAAGCCAGCACTTCCAAACATTAAACCGTAGGTGGGCAAATATTAACTAGCTATTTGGGGGGTATCCCTGCCCTGTATCTTTCACATTATTTTTATTGAACAGAACATGGGACATGCCTGATACATGCAGGGCTGCTGAAATAGTCTTGGGATTCCCTATCAGGAAATTGGAAGGAGTAAAAAGCCAGCGGTGTTATTTACTTAAAGGACCACTATAGGCACCCAGACCACTTCAGCTTAAGGAAGTGGTCTGGGTGCCAGGTCCATCTAGGATTAACCCTTTCTGCTGTAAACATAGCAGTTTTTTACAAATGGGTTAATCCAGCCTCTAGTGGCTGACTCATTGACAGCCACTAGAGGCGCTTCCGCACTTCTCACTGTGATTTACACAGTGAGAAGATGCCAGCGTCCATAGGAAAGCATTGAGAATGCTTTCCTAGGAGACTGGCTGAATGATTGCTACTAGAGGTGTTACTAGACAGCAATGTAAAACGCTGCCTTTTCTTTGAACAGGCAGTATATTACAGTGCAAAGACTGTGGGGACATGCTCTAGGCACCAGAACCACTACGTTGAGCTGTAGTGGTTCTGGTGACACTAGTGTTCTTTTAAATTTGAAATTCACCTTGAATTCTCACTTTAGAATAATCTTGTAAGTATTTAGATTGCAAGCTCTTTAGAGCAACATCCTCATCCGCTTTGGGGTTATACAGCATATCTAAAAGGTAACCTAGAATAAACAATAATTTAGTTCAGAACCCACCTTACTATATGTTGCACTCAAAACATAGGCCCCACAATTGGTGCATTATTTTCGTATTCTGTCTTCATTGAACTCATTTGGTTGTTTAACCGAAGTCCATATCTCCAAATGGACATATAACTGAGCACGTGATTATCCCATGTTCGATTCATTATTCGACGTTCCTCCTAGAAGAGATGAGTGATGGTGAGGGGACAGTCACTAAATGTTTCACAGATCAAGTGAGAAACAGAGGGGAAAATGGAGGTGCAGTAAAATAAATACATATTTTTTTTTTTTTTTTAGATTATATATTTAGCAAATTTTAGAATATATAGATCCTTATTTTTTATTTTTTTACATCTCCCTTTTTTTTTTTTTTTCATCTATTGTTTTTTTTTTTCTCACTTAAACTGTGAACCGAATCGCGTTAAAATGGAGTGTGAAATATATGCGTGATATTTATAGTGTTTATATTTTGCAGTACTTTGCCCTGTTTTGCTTATCTGAATGTTTTCCAAAAAAAAAAAAATATATATATATATATATATATAACAAACAAACAATTCTGGAACTATATTTAATGGAACCGGCACATGAACAAGTGTTGGACATCCAGAAAAAATGTTCAGTTGCAGGAAAAATGATTCCGCCAAACGGAACTTTCCTGCTAATGCTTCTTCCGACTGACCAAACTTTCTGTAACAGAATATTAAAACAAGATGTTCCAATTCTCAGAGAAGGTCTCTGCCCTATGCATATCGTGAGTGCAACATATAGCACAAACCATAGTGTAGTTCGATGGTTTAAAGAAACTCGCTACGATCTAACACTAGGTGCCCCCCTGAAATGGCCATGCCATGGTTTGGTACAGATTAATATTATGGAGGTTTATGGTAATCCATACAAAATCATGTCTGTTGCAGGTGACTTGTTGGCAATATAGGTAGTGATTGTTGAAATCACAACAGTTGCGGAAACTGGCTGGTGAAGTCAATTACTTGCTCTTTGTCTGTTTTGTTGTTTATGTATATCGGTAGAATGGATTTCTTAATGTTTTGTTTTTTTTTTTCTCTCGACAGCACGTACGGTTTCTGCGATAGAAGTATATGGCCCAAGTGAGCTCTTTATAGAAAATGGCACAGAAGCCAGGTTGCCCTGTACTTTTAAATCATCGGAAGTTACCAGCACTAGTTTACTAGCTATATGGAAGTTCGATGCTCAATCCAAAGGGGGTGACTCTGTGACGGTAAGTTTAAGGATTAGGCTTAAATCATGATAATGGAAGGGGTCATTTATTGCTAATGGAAATAGTGAATTCTAGCTTAGCCATACCTTGTATGACCACTTCGTGTTCAGACCATGCACTTCCAAATCTATGTTCAAGTCTTGCCATCGAGCACGGATAACTAAGAAGGAACCGACCTTGGACAATTTAAAGGCACATTCATGGCACCATAGTCACTGCAACTTATTGTTGAGGTTTTGAACCTAGGTGGCTATAAATGCAATCCTGCCATGTATTTGTCAAACCATTTAAAAAAAAAAAAAAATTGTTGCCCAAAGATGCTGGCCATGTAGGGCCGTATAAGGCTGAAAAACTCTCAATTGTGTCAAAGTTTCTGCAGAAACTGCTGACTTGTGGCAAATGAGGAAACAAAATGAGTAAACTATCGGTTTTCTCCCCTATTCACAACCTAAATTACTCTTATTGGTTATCTCATTGCAAGAATCATAACCACATCAGCCCATTACACCTCCAGCAGCAACAGGTCTAAACTTGATATGTGCAGTGCCTCCTAGTGAAACTCTGCATACACAGACTCCGGGCACCATGACCACCTCAAATCACTGAAGCGGTCACAGTGATTGGAATAACCTTTAACATTTCAAGTTGTACATCACCTGCCAGGGTTTTAAAGTTACTGGCCACTACAAGCCCGGAGAGTCCTTGGCACACTCACCAGGGTCGAACTCCTACGTGCGTAAGCAACCCATAATAGAGTTCAATGTTTTATGTAAGTTTGAATTTGTTGTATTTTAATTACATTTTTTTTTTCTTCTAGATTTTTTATTACACAGGAGGGACAAATCAGCATAAAAATAAAGACCAGTTTACGGGTCGTATCTCTTGGGCTGGTGATCTCAACAAGAGAGATGTTTCAGTCAAAATAAAAAATATGCAGTTTATTGACAATGGCACGTATGAGTGCACAGTATTCAATCCCCCAGACGTCAGTGGCAAACCTAACAAAATCAAGATTCGAGTTGTTGAAAGAGGTAATAACATTTTTTGTACCTTTTCTCTTTTTCTCACCCTCCTATGTTTAACCGATAAAAGTATTTCATTTTTTAAGCATTATTACAAGTGATTTTCTGTTTCTCGGCCTGACGTTTGTCTGTAAAGGGACAGTTCCAGGTATAATGATTACCTACTGTACAGTTGAAAGAGCTTCCCGTTTTTGTTTAGTTGCTTATAATTGCAGCCATTTGCCAATATCACTGTAGTCATATGTAAACTTGCACTTTTATTTATCTCTAAAGGTATTGTGGGCTGTTCCCGCTCTGACAGTTTTGTACATCTTTGTCAGTGTCATAGAACCTTTAATGCAGTGTCCGTCACTTCTTTTCTTTTTTTTCTTTTTTTTAATTCTTTATTTTTGTTGTGCTAAGAATTACAGACAAGTTTATATCGCCACGACAGCTGATACAAGCTGATGGAACAACGCAAGACAATCAGTAACATGGGAGGAATTAACAGCACAATTTTTAAGAGATTTGTTAAAGAGATCTATAACATTTGCTTCAACATTAGCTGCAACCAAGTTGGTAGCCACGAGGAGTAGAGTAGACTATTTGAATACTATCAGGAATATATGTATAAAAATTAAGCATTAGTCATGGTTCTAGCCTACAAGAGTAGTATTGCCGCTAGGGCTGAGTAGTTGTATGAGCGTTGCTATGACATAAATGCTATAAGATACTGACATGCTAGCAATAGTGAGAAAGGGTGATGGTCTCTTAACTGGGCTCGCCCATGATCAGCATGAGCTGACATGAGCAAAGCCCAGTGTGTTCCCCTGCAGCCAATACAGCCGAACAGAGACAGTAGGACTGACATAGCATTATATTCTCATAGGCATCAAATCTAGGCATATATAGGTAGTCTTAAGCAAGATGTGTTAATGCCACATAGATTTAGTGTGTAGGCTAGTGTTTCCACAAGAACAATGCAAAGGGCTATGATTAGTTCTGTTCCCTCGCTATACTGGCCACAACAGCAAGATTCATACAAAATAAAAATAAAGACAACAGTAATTTGCATCCTTTTTAGTCCTGTAGCGTGTATAGGCCGCAGATGGGAAGACAGTGTAGGTATCAAGGGTATTCTGTCCCTTCAAAACTGCAGAGGCAACAGGATAATGGCATGTCAGTTGAAACTTATATTTGTAACGTTAAGAAAACATTTTTGTAATTGTATGAGGGTATACAGGCTAAGTACAAAACTAAAATGATTGCTGCTTAACAATACTAGGTTATTATAACATAATTGCATGTTTTGCAGTATGGCAGTTGCTGGCTGGTATATAGCACCTATACAGTAAGTGGACATCTGTAGCCAGCTGTCTGATGAGAGATATATAGGAAATATATAAAAGACCTGCCACACTGATTAGGTACAGGAATAACTCTGCAGGATTAGAGGGAAATACACCCTAGGCTAAAAGGCAAAGAGGAGAGTAGTATCGTTGGTAAGTCGCATCGTGAGTCCATAGTGGTTGGTGCTTACAGTCTCTGGGACCTCAGTCTCGGTGGTTCACCCGACTCCGGCTTTCGGCAGGAGCCTCTGGTATGCGGGAGGTGCAGCTGTGATCCGGTGAAGGGCCTTGTACATGCGGGTACTGTTCGGCTGTGGCATCCCTGGTCCGGGCTGTAGCAAGGATCCATCTTTGGCTGTATGAGTGTCGGGTGGCTGTGTATCTCTGTCCCTCAGGGCTGTCTTGGTGGAGCCAGCGGTGCGGTGGGCAGGTGGTGTCTGTATGCCTCCGTTTCGGCTTAGGCACCTCGTGTGTTGTGAGTGTCTGTGTCCCTGTAGGGTGGAGGAGGGTCCGCTTGAGCCTCCCTTGTCAATATTTGACACCCTTGCACTGCTACGGTTCGCTATCTTGGGCTTGTGGGGGACATTATGGATGTTGCGTCCCCATGATGAACCTGCTCCCCCTGGTACCGTTGCTGATGTTGGGGGGTAGCCCTTAGGCAGGCTTTCCCCCTCTGGGAACCTACCCGGGTGGGTATGTGCGCCTCTCGGCCCGGCATGTCTCCCGCCTTGCCGCCCTGATAGGGCTCGGCTGGGTGTCGTCGCTGCAGTCTTTTGCTTTGTGGCTGGGGTCGGCTTGTGCCGTGAGAGGTCACCTGGCCGGCTCCGGACAGGCTGGTGCTGCTTACTTGCTAGCCTGCGCCAGAGTTGTGAGCCCTGTGAGTGCCGAGGTGAGTATGCGGTATCCATTTTGTGTTCTCCTCGTGGTCGCTTTGATGGACGAAATCCGTGTTTGGCATCGGCATGCTGTTGCATACTCCTTTCAAGCTTCTGCCAAAAAGCTGTAAATATTGCTTCCAGCCTTGCTGTATAGTCAGCTTGCTCTGCGTGGCATTCTGCAGGTTTCTCCCTGAGTCGACCAGGAGCTCTCACAGCAGTGGTCCTGGGGGAACTCTGAGTCCGGTGGGTTGCAGGCTGTGTTATGGGGGTGATCGTCCCCAGCGAGGACCGGGATGACCCCCGCCGGTCCAGAGGGGGGGGGGTAGCAGAGCTGTATCGGTCGTGTGAGCGTGCCCCCTGCCGGGGGATCGGCCGCCTCCCCCAGGCATCAGGCCCCGCTCTGGCTTAGGCCGCATGGCCGGTTCAGGTAATTTTGTCCCGTTTTTGTCCGGGACAGGTATCATCCTGTTCTCCGGTTGTTCCTTTGTCGCTCTCTGGTCACCGTGAGTCTGTAGCGTCAGTAGTGTAGCCAGGGTTAGTGTTTATTGGCCCACCGGTGCTGGAGCTCTTAGAAAACACGTCCGGCCATCTTGGTTGTCAGGCTCCGCCCCCCCCGTCACTTCTTTTCATGACTGCAATTGATTGATACACTCCCATTGAAAACAGTTGATGGGCCAGAGTTTGCTAAAAGGTTTTAGTTGTTTCTTAGTGTGAATAGGAGATCACTGACAATCATTTATTGCATCAGAAGCTGACAATCATTTATTGCAAAGAAATCTGTCTCTTTTGAAAAAGTCAGTTTACTTGATTTAATGAACTATAAACAGGCTTTAAGTTGAACCTCTGGACGTAAAATAAAAATACCCTCAAAATTAAAAATAAATAAATTCAGCATGTAATCCGCGTCAGATTCACTGATCGACTTATTTTTGTTTCTTTAAACAGAGAATCTTCCAGCATCCAATGTTCCCTTTCTTGTTGGGATAATATGTGGAGTGATCGGAGGCATCCTTCTGATTGCTCTTCTCATATTTGCACTTGTTATCTGCAAGAGGAAAAGATCGAAGAAAAACTACAGCGGGTAAGGAAAAATTTTCATCTTTCTAAAAATGAACTTCCGCGAGAGTGGTTTACTGAATGGATTTAATGTCTGTCACATCGCTGCAGAGCAGTCCAGTAGTTTAACTCTGTGAGCTTTGGGGAAGGTAGAATGGGTCACTGTGGTTTGTTATTTTTTCTTATTGCAAGGTGGTACTTTACAAACCGTAACATTTTAACTAAATTATAATAGCCAAATGTAGCTGCTGGATAGGTAAAATATCATCGAATACTGACTTATCACTTCTACCTCTCGGCTTACAGGTATAACCTAAAGCTGCTTAGTGAAATCTAGCTGTATCCCTCAATATGTGTTTATTTACAATCCTCGCATGGCTATGTAGGGTATCTCTGTACCTCTCACTATATATTATAGTAGAATTTTACCTGAACGATACAATCCATTCCGATCTGCTTAATTTTTTTACTCAACCACTAACTTCCCTTTTAATTTGTAAAATTTGACTAACCATTAAAAACCTCAAGCAGTCCCATCATTTATAATAGGACCCAAGCAAAAACCGAACATTAACAGACTATTATTAACCGAATCCGATCTGCTCGCAATGGTTTTCATATTCAATAAAGGAAGACTCTGCAGTCCCCTATTTGTATAGGTATAGTGTGTGTATAGTATGTATCGCTGCTGTTCTGTTAATCATAATGCTAGTCAGGGCAGACCAGAAACCATCTTTCATCTTCACAAATATTTTCTTGCAGTTAGTGGTTTTGGCATAACCAGGATAATCTTTTGGAGTCCTGGTATGTAGGAGGGTGTATTTGGCTTGAGTTTTGATCCTCAATCTTAAGATGTGCTCCAGGTATGGGAAACCGTGTGTGTGTGAGTGGTTTGTGTTTTTGTTTTTTTTTTTTGCATGTGGTGGAGGTATTCAATGTTATTAATTACAGCTGCTTTTATAAAACCTTATACTTCAATTCCACTGAATCCTCGTACTGATCTTTGTGTGATTCTTCCCTCAGCCTTGCATGCAACAAATACACTGCAACTCCCATCATACGCTCCGTCCAAAACTCTGCTTGTACTTGTATTTTGAAAGAGAAAAATAGGCTGGCTTCCAAAATGTTCTGTCTGGGTTTTGACAAGAGACTCTGTCACCTAGAAATGTAATAAATTCCAAACCATATGAACAGTGAGCGAGCCCCTCAAAGTATGTAATCTTGGCAGCCAATCAGAACCTGAGGTTCAAACAGTGGTGCTGTTTAACTCCCAGCATATTTGTGCCGAAACAGGAAAAGCTTTTTGCTCTTTCAGAGACATACAGAAGTCTGCGTTAACTTTAAATACTTTATTTATTTTAGACAATCTTTATGAGAATGCGAGTGTAGTAATAAGATATTTTTATAGAAAACAAGCATTGCGGTAAATCCTTTTGTTCTTTTTAAAGAGCCATTATATGGCATGCGTTAATCCTTTAGGTGATCTCTCCTTGCTATTGTACTATAATTAATTGCCTAATCCAAGCATCTCTTACTTGGAAGTTTTCTAAAAAGTACTACTTATATTTTTATTTTTTTAATTTTACTTTTTTCTTCATGTATCTGTTGTAATTCTTTTAATTAGATGTAATAAATAATTTAAAAGGCTCCCACCCCCAACAGCCTATGAATGTTGCTGGCCACGTGATGGAAACCTTGGACAAGCCAATTGCTGACACAAGGACTGGCAGACATGGTGATGGCCAACATTGGCACTCAACTTCCCTGTTGTTGACGGATCATGAGAAATATGGCAAACCTCTATATCAAATATATCAAACCTCTGCCGTGCCAAGGTTGGCAATCACTGGCTTGAAGTCCAATTTTTCTCCCATACTGCATTGTTGCTGTGATTTTAGGTTTTCTTTCCTAACTGTACGTATGTATTACTTTCATAACGCTTGTTAGAACGCCAGCACTATTCTATTGGAAGCGGTTTTAGTGTTTGGATACAGTCTCCTAACCGATACTCGTTTTATAATTGCCATGCCAACTTCTGCAGGGATGCTTGGCAGGTACTGGATCCTGGAGCTAATTGCTTAGTAACAGTACGACCTGTTCTGTCACAACCGCTCCGATCTCCAGTGCCTAACCAGCCGCCGTGCTGTGTAGGAAGCGGGCATCTCCGACAGTCTTTCCTCTCCTGCATGAGACCTTTCCTCTTCATCTTTTGACATGGTAACTTGGGGTCATACTTTCTTATAACGTTCAGCTGCTTCCTGTCATCGGTGTCTTTCACTAATTACTGACTCGCTTGGTGTGCTCTATTGGAATATGCACTGTTTGCAGGTGTGTGTGTGCGCTTGTGCTTCAAACAAAAAGTAAGAATACCGAGCAAGGATACCTGCAGGGGGGCCTTGATAAGCCCATGTTAGGAGAGCATAACTAAACCCGGGAAGTTTTCCCAATTTAAATGAGAACTTTAGGACAAAGTAGCAGAGCTGACAAATTGCCAAGTTACAGACTTAAGTGCCTCCAATTTTCCCAATTTCTGTTATGGTGAAACTTTTTTAATCGCTGATTTTTAGTATACCTGTACTAAAACACATTCTTGCAATACACACTCCTTTTGGTCCTGAATTCAAAGCAATTTAGTAGACCAAAACGGCCAAACTGAAATATGAATATTTTACCGGTGTCTAAGTGTTGGTGAGCTGTCTCTCCTATAAAGGGCTACTTCTAATTTTAATGTCTGAAAGTTCTATTGAGCTTACATGAACTAAAGTGAATATATAGCAAAGGGCTTAATGTGTTGTATAAAGCAAACAATGTGAAGAGAGGAGAAATATAGGATTAGATTTACTGTGCAGTAAATAGTATACATCAGACTATCCTATTTTAATCTCTTATTAAGCAAACTAACAGACCTAAGGGTACTGAGTGACCGTTTTTAAACCATGTGCTATTAGTATGTACACTTATACTCCTTTGTAAGAGGATGCAGGGGTACCTTCTTTAAAACAGATGTGTCTATCCGGCACTGCTACGTATGTCCAGGGAGCAGAATCTAAGTCCTAGATCCTTATTTGGTAGCCGTCCAGGAACCCCCCTTGCCACCCCTCAACGGTGCCAATAAGCTTCTGTGGTTGCTGTTGTGGTGATGCTTTTTGCCGCAGGTCTGTCCTAGTTGAAATACAATGTATGTTTTGTATTGTCATTGTTTTACACGTCCTTTTGTCCCGTTTAATACATTATGTTTGTATTTTATTCGTTATTTGTTTTCATTTCATTATGTGTTCCTTTATTTATTTTATTTTTCTTTTGTTATTTTAAAAATTTCTTTCATCAATAATTTGCCCCATTCTGCCATCCATGTGTTGTTGGACTTTGTGTTCCTGTTGAATCGTATCATCCCAATGTGCTCGCTCCTCCTTTCGGCGGCAGCTGCAGCACCACAGAAAGCTTGATGTCCGTTAAGCAGCCACCGCGCAAGTCTCCTGGCACAGAGGAATTGGTAAAACCCATGCCCTCCGCACCTATTCAGGTAAATGCAGTGAGTAATTGGTAAAGTAGATCTTGGATCCTGTAAGCGACTGATACGATCTGGTGTTGGGTCTCTTGCGTGCAATTCTGGGATTCGACAAAGCCTCCAGACCTTCCAGCCATAAATTCTTTCTGTGTTGCTTAATGCAATCTACGTACATTCCTCTCCACTCATAGCATGCAGAGGAGTATGTTGTACCATCAATAATCTCATAAAGGTTTACTAAATTAACGCATTGTTGGGGAAGGAAAAAATTTTTTTAAAAGGCAAAAGCCTGCAAACTCTTTTGGTCCCTATCAGTTCTTATAGTCTAGGCATTTAAGTGGCCGGTCATTTAAAAAAATATTAGGGATGGTTTATGGACTACATTTCCCCTGATGCCGTGCCACTCTTTAGGAAGTGTACTCTGCAAGGCAGGGTATTGTCGGTGTATGCTGTGTGAAGATTGCAATGACTGAGCTGGTTATGCCGTATTTTGTAATGCACTGGAACCTTTGTAATTCGGAAACCATTACAAATCGCCTGAAAGTTGCTGATTATTTCTGGTGTAGTTGTTATGGTTGTCCTATTCTTGGACAGTGATTGAGCGCTTCAAATCCGGCCCTTTACGGATTTCTGTGCCAATTAGTAAACCATGTCTTCAAATAACTTACTTTAGAGGGAAAAAAAACCCTCAGTTATTACCCTGTCAGAGAGACCACTGAATCTTAATGTAGTGGTTTCAGTGCATAGAAACTGCTCCTTTTCCCTTACAAAAGTAAAACATTTTGTTTCTCAGAAATGGTCTTGTTTACAGCTGACTATGGTCTGTTATTAGAGGCACTTCCTCCTAGAGACCTTCGATTTTCAAAGGTTATGTTTGATGTCACAGCATGATGATGCCAATGGCAGTGAATGTCTAATGTAGAGAAACATTGGGATCAGTGTCTCTCTCAGGTACAGCTTTATTGGCAGACCCACCCATTGCCTCCTACACCCTGTAGATGTGTAATGCTATGAGAAGAATCTGATTTGACCAGAGATCCATAAGCATGATGTCACCAAGGGTGGGTCAGGCTGCATAGTAGGTCCTGGATTACAGGCAAGTTTAACAGTAACAAAGTCAAAGGCTTGGTGTTCCATTACCAGCCTGCAATGCAAGTAGCAATCTGTTTTATTGTAGGAGGAGAATGGGAAGGATACATGCGGTTTGTCGTCTTATAGTAACGAGTGACAGTAGGAGCCAGGATAGCATTAAATACAGTGCTGTGCAATTCAGTTTCTAATTGTACTTTTCAGAACTCACAAAAACACTTTAATTTTTTTTAGATCTGACTGGATTAATGAAAGGGTTATTCTGGACCAGCAAACAAAAATTGATTTCCAGCAACAAAAGTTAAATTACTGAAGTGGTCATGTTGCTAGAACTAACCCTTGATAAGGGAACTATCACTTCCCATGAATTTTAACGTTAAATTGATTTAAATTGTGCATGTTGCAAATATTGAGCGTTTGGACATCCCAGGGACACATAGCTAGCATTTTAAAATGTGGCTGTGAATGGTATCCTATGGACTGCTCCCTTCCATCCTTTATGTCCTCTGCTTATTTTTGCGCATGTCATGAATTTCATCCTATCAGAGAGGGTGCTACAATAATGCCATGTAGCTGCTGCTCCTATCAATGCTGAACATGACACTGCTAAAGGCAGGGCAGGTGTGTCTGTTCTGCCATTGACTGGCTCAGAAATGTCATTTTTAATCTATTCTTCTGCAATGTCGCTGGTATATATAATATGGTGACGAGAGACTGCAGGCCTTCTTAAATCTTTTTAGATTAATCCTTGCTCCATTCGCGGGATATCTTATTAGTAGTATGGAGCTAAAATATTCCACAGCTCTTTACTAAGCATAGACTGAGAACAGCTGCTGGCTCTCCCCATTTCCGATTCTTTGTTAGAATGGTACTTTCGAACAGTCTTGGCCTCTTATCTCGCCTGCTTTGGGGTGTGCTCCATTTTCAGCCCTCTTGGCTTTGTGCTCTTAAATCCTCTGCTTCTTTTATAGCCCAGGGCCAGTTCATATAGTTCTAATATAAAGTGCTCTGGGAAAACGTCAAGGGCCCTCGTACAGACGCTTCTATATGACAGAGCTGTACGAACAGCTGGTGAAACGAGCTATATCTACCTAGACTTTCATCACAATTCTACAATCCGCAACACACCCAGGGTTTATTCACTAAAGATCACATTGTACTGAATTAAAAGCTAAAATAGCTGAGCTGTGACTATAAAGGAGTTGGTGCGTTTTTCTTTAAATCTGCTATGTTGGCCTGAATGTTTCTATTGGTTTAGTAAACTTACCCCCCATTCGTGGTGACCATTTTATACTCTATTCTTGAAAGTATTATTACATTAAGAAGATTAATTCTACAGATACAGCAAGCATTTGTGTGATGGTCACATTCCTTATATAAACACATAGCTAATGATAACGGCTCCCCACTTGGGTAATGACAAAATGTCGTGTTTTAAATGGCCTACCAGCTCATTTCTAGTGCAGACTGTCATAGGTTTATAGTGACTATGAATCCATGTGAATGAGATTTACTTTGAAAATCCAGTGGTAGTATAACAAAACTGACAGCGCTTTCAAGGTCTTTGACCCACAGTAAATGTCTAGATCTTCCAAGGCAGCTTGTTTAAATGTTAGATATCTGTATCCATTGATTTTGCTGTTGCTCCATTATATTGTCATCCTGTATAAATATGGTATGTTGCCGGAGTCCAGCCATTTCCTCACTGAGAGTGATTGTATGTGTAAGGATGCAAGCTGATTTCTTGGAAGGTTTATGGTGAATGTAAATGAATACAGACAACAATCGGTCAACATAAAGAAGGTACAATACTGTCTAGTGGAAGAAACTTAGCATTAATAAAAGTGCTGCAAGCACCCTATTGTAGGCACCCAGACCACGTCAGCTCATTGAAGTGGTCTGGGTGCTGTGTCCCTTTTGCACCTAGTGCTGCAATGTTAAACATTGCAGCACTAAGTCTGCCCTCAGTGGCTGTCTACCAGAGAGCCACTGGGGGTGCTTCCAGAATTGTAACAGTTTTTGGTCCGTTATCTGATGCTGGACTTCCTTACGCTCTGCATGAGGACCTCCAGCGTCACATACCTTTTCCCCATAAGACAGCATTGATTCATTGCTTTCCTAATGGGGAGGTCTAATGCGCGCATGCGGCATATGTCAGAGGAGGGGGCGGAGCTGGGATAAGGTATTTAAAAAAATAAAGGTGTGGGGATTATTTATTTTTTTAAACCCTTTTTTATCTACTGGTTAGAAGGGGGCGCGAGGGAGGGGATCCAGCTTTGTATTCCTGGGATTACCGTATCCCTTTAAAGATGAAGCTGGTTAATGTACATATGCCTCTTTTTGTGGTTCTGTGATCTTTTATATTGACAAGATTGTCCGCACTGGATCAGTTATATGGGCTTGTCTATTGGTACAATATGCAGCCTTGATCAGAGCGAGTGTATCAGCAAGAATTAATTGTATCACTAGGCAGTTAATATTCATAACAATTTGTGAGTGGCTCTAATATAATCACACTCTCTTAAAGGCAGCTGAAACTTTGTAAACAAAAAACCAAAGAGGAACTTATATCCTATTATTATATTATATCTCAAATTCATTGTCAATTTCTCAACAGTCTCAACATGTTAAACTTACCGTCTGTTTTAAGTAATTGTGGGTGTAGGCAGACTTGTGGTTAGTGGCCCAATTATAAACTCTTGGGCAGCAAAAAATGTTACATCAAAGAGACTAACAAGTTATAGATTGAAATGGCATTCCTCAGCCACATTCTGTCCTAGGAGTCTATACATCTCCGATGGATCCAAGACAAATTGTGTAAAGGATAGAGGGAACACATACTCTTCTTAAATGCCTCTCCAAGGTGCAAATCCTGACCTGATCCTGGAATCCCCAATACAGAAGTAGAAAATAGAATGTGATCCTGGGACACAAGGGTAGTAAGATGGCAGATTTATTGAAGATTCAGTGAGTGAAGTGATAATGGCAACATTTTTGCCTCAATTGAGGTTCTTGCCAAACTTTATCATAGACAAGACATAATGCATTTAATCAGGTAAACCCAGTTCTTTATAAAATAAATAAATGCTAATTTTATTCACATGGGTAGTAGCCCTTGGTAGGTTTCCTGATCATTGCCCTGGTGGGGTCAGTTAATAAAGACACAAGAGCCAAGTTAAAATAGTCGCATTAAGGCGTATCCTTAGAACAGGGACACACACCCTAGGACTCTCCTCCTCGCACGATATACATTTAATGTCATCATTTACCTTTTTAACTTCCATTTTTCTCTTAATTACATTTTCTTACTGTTATAAAACTGTCATCTTCATGCTTCTGATACCTTTTATAGAAACTTGTTTTAAAATTTATTTTACTTTTTTTTTTAATCTTCTTTCACACAGGGGCCGGTAATATATGCGCAGCTGGATCATTCCGGAAAGCCAAGCAACGAGATCATCAAATCCGAGTCAGTCGTGTATTCTAACATCCGAAGACTCTGCTGAGTTTATTTCCAATTAAAGACCAAGATGCAAAATCTACATTTTATTTGTGAACTGGAAAAGCTTAATGCAGACTTCATGCACAAGTTGCGTATGGCCTTCTTACTTGGGACCAGCGCTAGTGACAATGAAACCGTTTATTACTTTATATGTTTAAAGCAAGATGCATGAAGGGGTGTGCAGATGGCAGAGTAGTTGTGCGGTCCAGAGATGAACACAAACACTCTGGGAATCCTAAAACAAGGTTAAATACTATGCAACAAGACTCTGACAGAACTCCGTCAACCTCTTCCAAGCAGAGGATTCAAACAAGTTAGGAATTCTATAAATATACATTTCCTGTAGGGTTCATGGGAAGAGTATATCTTTCTCATTGGTTCCTATGGGGAAACAGTATAGAAGAATACTTCTGCTTGCAGGGTTTCATCCATCGAAAACAATCGATGACACGTGTCTCTGCTTTTTCTCTACAGCCGTCTCTCTTCCTCAAATCTATGGAGGTTCAGAGTTGGCCGACATATCTCGGTTATTCCTTGCTTTCCTCTTGAGCTGCTGTAAAAATAATGAAGAATCTGAGTGGTTTCAGAGCGTTAATGAATAAAAACATTTGGAAACCATCTCTGAGAATTACTTTTACTGCCAGCTCACAGAGTGATATGGAAAGCATCAACTTAAACAGTCTTCCATTGGTACAGCCATGGATATCTACCCAATAAATTGGAGGAAACACTTGCTCTTTTCTTAGGGAGGAGGAAAAAAAAAAAAAGCTTATGCCTTTTTAAAATATATATTTTTTTTTTTTTCCCTTCCCCAACCCAAACGTGGCAATATAGGGAGTCTGTGAATTCCTCTGTTATGTGTCCTACAATAAATGCTTCTCAAATGAGATGAAATATCTTTGGATGAAGTTTAAAACAAATCACATTTATGCAGGGAAAGCTAATGGTGCATAGCAGGGCACAAAATTTCCACTTGCCACTAGCCTCTGGTGACTGTGCCATGAACACTCACAGTTGCCAGTAACCGTTAAGGCTTGGCTGGTGGCACAGAACTTGACATTTTAAGCCCCGGGGCAAAATATTAAACAGGATCATCCATATTCTGTTCTCCAAGCATCCTGGAGATGGCAATACATCTCAAACTGTTACATCAGATGTAGCCTTAGTTCTGCATTCTGGCCGTTTAATATCTGCCTGTACTGCCACAGGAAGCCTTACTCCACATCACAACAAAAAGTGCAATTATTCTATCATTGACAAACCCCTGATGTGTTTCCTTTATTTTATATGTTGGAGAAAATTATCCCCTAGTGTGTACAGTTACGTATAATGTGTATCTATCTACCATCAAGCTTGTTGTAGATTTCTATCATTAATCAAAAGGGAATCGACTGTAAGACCCCCCCTCCCCCAAAAAATGGGCTCACTGTACAATATCAATTATGCTAACACCTTCCAACAAGGGGACTTGCTTTTATCCACTACATCTTGTAAATACTGTATTTAATGTCTGTGACCAATGCTGCATGACTCAGTGCGCTTTTGCCATATTTTTATATAATATATTAAAACAAAGTACAACTGGAAAGGGAAAAGACTATTTTGAAGGTTTTAAAGAGTAAAATGGGGAAGGGGTACAGTTGTAGTAAAGTAGCGGGCAGCCCCTCTTGTGTTTTATTGCTTTCGTTACGTGGCTGGAAAAGATGGGATTCTCGTCTGTACCAGCTGCCATCTCATAACATTTAACGTTACTATAAAATATATCTCTATTCAGTAAAACCTCTCAATACAGTGTTTATTGTAAAATATTTAGCTTGTCTTCAATTTTTATTGCACATGTCTTTTGGTTATATATTCAGAGAGTACTGTTTAGGTTACATTTCTGTTGCTGGATTCAATGTGTGTGTATATATAAAACCCTCTATATAATCATATAGACGTTTCCAACATATCCTGTTTTGTGAATCCGTTTACGCGCCCTGAAGCTTTATTTTTTGTTTGTAAAATAAGAGTTTATCATGTTGTCTTTGATATTGTTTAAATGTAATCGTATGTTTGTTTGTTTTTTTGTTTTGTTTACATATTTCTTTGAGCTACTCTCGCCCTATGAAATGTTATATTTGGTTATCCCGATAATCTATGTTCACTGCCTAAACACATTTTATTTCCTCTGACTGGATTTGTGAAAATAACTGTTCTGTATTTATACAACTAACCTGAATACTGGAATAAATGAGAATGACACAGTTCTATGTACATGTGTTAACATTCTTTTCAACTTAACAGTTGTGTTAATTTGTGTTATATTAACAATACACCGCTCTGCATGGGGATGCTGAATTTCATTTATAGGGGGGCTAGCCACCCATATAAAGTGCTTTGGGAGGGTGTCTGCGGATCAGGCTCCCTACTCCGGAACGGTTAATTTTCACTCACCAGGGGAATTCTGAGCTTATATGTGTATATATCTATCTTATTATAAAATGTACAATGGCAAAAAGGAAACACTCTAGAGACTTTCTTCAGTGAAATAAATCTGCTTCTATTACAGCAAATGAGGTAGTCAACGTTTCAGTTCTTCTTTGCATTAAAGTGAAGTTAAGTATTAAGTAGCTACAAACAGAGGCATGACCAAGACATGGTGGGTGGATTACCAACAGACGTGAATGAAAATATATGAATCCCATATTAACTTCAAGGTGAGGTGTGCCAGCTTTGGACCTTGGAATTCATTGTTTACTTGAATTCAGCTGACTCACCTATTAGCTTCTTTTATAAATAGCGCAATCAATTTATAAGCCAGAGTGGGCACTTGTGCAAGTTCTGCTTGTGAGTCTTCAATTTCTGGGACATGTATTTTATTTTTATTCAAGGAACTACGAGGATTATTGCATTTATATTTGAATTGCAAACTTTAGGCATATGGTGCAGCATTCTAAAAAAAAAAAAAAAAAATTTTTATATGAATATGCTGTATTTTTTTGCATGCTCGAATCTAATATATATATACACACACATATTATATATATATATATATATATATATGTGTGTGTATATATATATTAGATTCGAGCATGCAAAAAAATACAGCATATTCATAAGGCCAAAACCTATCAAATGCATTCAAGTTGTATGGATGGCCGGAGTACCCCTTTAAGTCAGCTATGGTTTCAATTTAGCAACTTGGGCCTAGAATTAAAATTTTACTTTGCATTAGAGACATTTCACACTTAAGCAAATAACCCTAAAATAAATGTATTCCCTTAACCAGGAATTATGGATAATGAACAGGGGACTATAAAAAGTTAAGTCAAAATAGCTGAATGAAAAATATAAAATTACTAACCCCATTTTTTTTTTTTCCACCTCCGCTATCTTGACACGAAAATTGCAATTCTCTTTTTGGATTTTCAACAATTCTTGACTTTGTGAACAGACCCAAGAAAAAGGTCAGAAAACATACAGTCATGATTAAAGGGGCATGCATCACGTGACAAATATTTTTTTTTTAAACCAGCAAGCAAACACAAACAGATATACAAAGCAAAATCAAGGTAGAAATACTTTGAAACGCTTATAAATGTGGTCACTTAGCATTGTTAGGCACACCTCTTAACTAGGGGAATTCTTTCAGCGTTACCACCTTCCCCCTTCCTTTTACCCACTGACGGAAACAGGGCATTATTGGGCAGCCGCTTGAGAGAGAAACACAACACTGATCTGCATGAATCACACTGATCAGACTCCTTTTCTCCCACTGTCAGGATGTTGGAAGGTGAAGAGATATTCCAACTGAACATGTGTAAATGTGTCAGGTATACCCAATATGCTTTTCCAGGCCAGCATTCCCAGGGATAGGACGCGGATTGGTAGATCATAGCCCCTCTCCCCCTAAATAAAATCCTATTTACCTGCTTTTTTTAGTCTGCAGAGTGCAGCAACTGTCTCATTCAAAGCTAAAACTTGTGAATTAGACAGTTGCCTCAAAGTGATGCATGTCTCTAAAGATTTGCAGCTGGATGGAATAAATGGAATTTTATGAGTAAATGTAAACATGAAAGTCAGGGTAAAGAATCTTAAATATTTTAAGGATTCATAACTGGCTTAGAACGCATACTTTGCTTATCTTCTAATAATTGTTGCTGCAAAGTTTCACACTGCTTAGATATATAAACCTATATATAGAGAGAGATATTGCATTGGGCAATTAGCAGGACACATTCATAAAGTATTAGTGGAAACCAGGGAACCATAAATAAGGTCTATTGCTTCCAGGGGAGTGGTGACAAAAAGTCAAAAAAGTTAAAAGAAGAAAAACTACCACAAGAAGAAGAAATTAGGGGCAAAGGTTTAAAAATTATAATCCGGAAGTATTACTTTACTGAGAGGGTAGTGGATGCATGGAATAGCCTTCCAGTGGTAGAGGTTAACACAGTAAAGGAGTTTAAGCATGCGTGGGATGGGCATAAGGCTATCCTAGATATAAGATAAGGCCAGGGACTAATGAAAGTATTTAGAAAATTGGGCAGACTAGATGGGCTGAATGGTTCTTATCGGCCGTCACATTCTATGTTTCTATGTTACGGACTGTTTCTTAAGATACAAGCAGGGCCATCACGCCTGTTAGACGAATTAGACTACCACCTAGGGCATGCTGGCCTGGGGGCGTAATGTCTGGGTGACTGTCAGGCGGGAATCACGTTGCACAGGGCTCCCTTCCTGCAGGTCACTGCATGTAGCATGGCAGAGTCGTGGACCGCGGTAGAGGATCTTCTTTATCCTCTAATCAGTCTGACAGGAAGTGCTTGCTGTGAGACCGGGTAGAGGAAACCAAAGATCCTCCACCACTGTCTGCAACTTGGCCACTCTACATGGAAGGTGGTGAGCTGACATTGGGGGGGACGGGGTGGCAAAGACAAACAGAGGAGCTGGTGGGACAGAGAGACACACAAAGGGGCTGGGGTGCAAAGATAGACATATATAGGGGGTTGCGGGGAGAAAGATGCCCAAAGCTGCTCGAGAGGAGAAAGATACACACAGAGGTGCTGGGGAAGAGGAAAAAGACACACAAAGGAGTTGCAGGAGAAAGATACACACAAAGTTGTCCATTTTTTGGGTGCGTGGGGAGTGCAAGTAGCTGGTATTGTCTAGGGCGCAAATTAGTGACGCACAGGTCATGGGTACAGAAAATCACTTATCTAAAACCACTTTTTTTTCCACCCCTGGATATATTTTTTTTTTTTTTTTGCTTTAGAACATGTGCTCATTTAATCATTTTTTAAAAGAGACAGTCCAGCAGTAATGCTCCATTATATTATTTATGTATTTTAATTTTTTAAATTTTTATTACATTGTATGGATGTTGCATTTAAAGCTAGAGATATAAAAACTCCTATTGTGAGATACAGTTTCTACATTTCCAGCATGTGACTGGCCAGAGTGTGACGTGACCAGCAGCGAGGAAGCTCCATTCATTTAATTTAGCACCTTTCAGAGTGTAACATGTATCATGTGAGTTCCTGTACTGCAGAACTTTATGGGCAGGGTAGGGGCTATGGGAGTTGCAGTTCACTTATAAGCTTTTTACATATGAAAGCTGTTATCTGCACTATAACTCACAGGAAAAAAAACTATTGATATTCTCCCATATAGGCCCTTACTTCCTTAATGTTCTAGTCTCCTAAATAGGGCTCCTTACTTCCTTAATGTTATATTCTCCTATATAGGGCTCCTTACTTCCTTAATGTTATATTCTCCTATATAGGGCCCTTACTTCCTTAATGTTATATTCTCCTATATAGGGCCCTTACTTCCTTAATGTTCTAGTCTCCTATATAGGGCTCCTTACTTCCTTAATGTTCTAGTCTCCTATATAGGGCCCTTACTTCCTTAATGTTCTAGTCTCCTATATAGGGCTCCTTACTTCCTTAATGTTCTAGTCTCCTATATAGGGCCCTTACTTCCTTAATGTTCTAGTCTCCTATATAGGGCTCCTTACTTCCTTAATGTTCTAGTCTCCTATATAGGGCCCTTACTTCCTTAATGTTCTAGTCTCCTATATAGGGCTCCTTACTTCCTTAATGTTCTATTCCTCCTTATATAGGGCTCCTTACTTCCTTAATGTTATATTCTCCTATATAGGGCTCCTTACTTCCTTAATGTTCTATTCTCCTATATAGGGCCCTTACTTCCTTAATGTTCTAGTCTCCTATATAGGGCTCCTTACTTCCTTAATGTTCTAGTCTCCTATATAGGGCTCCTTACTTCCTTAATGTTCTAGTCTCCTATATAGGGCCCTTACTTCCTTAATGTTCTAGTCTCCTATATAGGGCTCCTTACTTCCTTAATGTTCTAGTCTCCTATATAGGGCTCCTTACTTCCTTAATGTTATATTCTCCTATATAGGGCTCCTTACTTCCTTAATGTTCTATTCTCCTATATAGGGCTCCTTACTTCCTTAATGTTCTAGTCTCCTTACTTCCTTAATTTTCTATTCTCCTATATAGGGCTCCTTACTTCCTTAATGTTCTATTCTCCTATATAGGGCTCCTTACTTCCTTAATGTTATATTCTCCTATATAGGGTTCCTTACTTCCTTAATGTTCTTTTTTTTTTTTGACAATCAAATTTTATTAGGATTTATCGAAGTGTTACAAGCATAGGTATTGTGCAGCATTGTGGAAGAAAATAGTACGTTACAATTCTGTCTTTATACATTATATCGCATAACGTGTTAGGGCTTGTTCTCGTGGGTCATTTCAGTAGCGACCCGCCTCACTCATGAGGTGGTGTGGTAAATGAAATATGTTGTCGTTAGTTAGCGAGTTTTTGATATGAAATCATCTATCTCTCTAGAGTGAAAAATTGAGTATTAGCAAGAGGAATTAAGAAGGGAGGTCTAGGATATCCAAAATATAAGAAAATATTATGAAGCAGGAATTATTACGCATGTTATGGCTAGTCAAATGAAACAAAATAAAGAGGAAATATGGTGGTGGTTGGAACTAGATTCTAGCCAATTAAGAAATACTTTAGAATTACTCTGGGGTACAAAAAAACTTAATCTATCCAGATCGTACATCTTAGGACAGATTATTCCTATATGGCAAAAAAAATAAAGAAAAGAATTGATTTGGTAAATAAGATATTTGATTTTCAAAACCTGGAAATAATAGAATTAAATATGGAGAGTATCTCCTTAAAACTATGGAAAGAAAAAGGAATAAATATTTTAGAGGACTTGATTAAAGAAAATAAAATTAAATCCTATAAAAGGTTGGTTGAGGAATTTAAGATCTCTGATAAAGATATATATACTTATTATAGAGTAAAACATTACTTGGAGAAAGTTGAAGTAGTAAAAGAAGGTAAGATGTATGATATCCTAAAAACAATCTTATATCAGAATAAGATAAAGCAACTTTTTTCTAGATGTGTTAGATTGTTGGATCTAATGGATGATTCCGTCCCGCCCAGTGCCATTAAAAAATGGAATAATGAATTAAAAATAAATATAGAATTATTTGAATGGCTATCTACGGCACAAAAAATCAATAAATATGTTCATTCCTTTGTATTGATAGAAACACATTTTAAGTTGGCCAACCAATGGTATATGACGCCAACAAAAATAGCTAAATTCGATCTATCTAGAGATATAAAGTGTTGGAAATGCAGAGAGGAAAAAGGAAATTATATTCATATGTGGTGGTCATGTAGGCAAGTGATTGTTGTATGGCAGTGGGCTCAATTCATCATTCATACATTATGTGATGTCAAAATGCCTTTAAAACCTGAAGTAATGTTATTACATTATAAATGGCCAAAATTGAAAAAAATAAATCAATTTCTAATTATCCATTGTTTAATGGCTTGTAAAATAATAATAGCAAGAAATTGGAAGGGAGATACCCCTCTTAACATCAAATTAATAATAATTCAGTTGGTTTACCAACTCAAAATGGAGAAGGATTATTGCAAGTTCCTGAAGGATGAATTGAGCCTATGGGAAAATTGGGAGAAAAAATTATTACAATTGTAAAAGGATTGTTATTTGAAAAAGTAAAAAAAAAAGAAAAAAAAGAAAAAAAAAAGTTGGAAGTCAGTAGAACTCTTGTGGGGTGGGGGGATAGTTTTTAAAAAAATAAAATAAAAAAAAAAATAAAGAAATCATCTATCTATGGTGTTTTCTCGCTTGGAGTGAGGACCCCTGAAGAGAGTTGTTTCAGGGGTACCGTCTCTGGCTGTGCTGAGCTCCCCTTCCCTTCCCCCCCATCCTCTCTGTCTACGGTCGTGTTTGTCCGGTCCGTACAGTGGGTAGTGTACTGGTCCGTGGCTGGGCGTGGTATGCTATCGCTCACTATCTTCTGCTGTCTCTCGGTTTCAACCCAGTAGGTGTGGGGTGAGTTGGTGTCTTGTGAGTAGCCGTGAAGTGGCTGCACGGGTTTGAGGATCCTCCAGTCCTACAGCTAGGTCCCCTCTGGGCGTATGTCCACCGTAGCCATTGTTGTCCTGTGGAATACCGTGGGCTATTGTGTATGAGTCAATCATTGTGAGGCGTCCTTTGATGTTCGAGTGTTCCTAACCCTTCATCTCGTCTCCCCTAGGTTTAGAGTCCTCCGTGTTGTAGTGCCTTGTGGTGTGAGTGACTGGGATTGTGCTGTCCCCAGTTCCCCTCCTCCGTGTTAGATAACGGCTTTCGCCGTGCCTTAATGTCAAGTGGTGTGTGGGGTTAGGGTAGTCCCCTGTTTGTGTGCTACTCCGTGTTACTGGGTTAGGGGAGTCGACGTGTCTCTGAATTTACTCCCGTGGTTCTGTGTCTTGGCCGTCCATGGTCAAAAGAGGGAGTTCAGCTTTCTTGGGTTAGGGAGTGTCCGTGGACCTGTCCGTCCGAGGTCTAGGAAGTGGTTCAGGAGTTGCCTTCTGTGCCAGGGGTTGTCCTTTAGGACGGTCGTGAGGTCAGTCTATACTAGGTCCCTGCCCCCATCCCCCCCGAGGCTAGCGCCGCCCCCCCGCACGCGGTCCCGCCACCCCCGCTCTCTTGGTCACATAGTCCATCCACGGGTACCATGTCAGCGCACATTTTTCCGCCCGCCCCTGCAGTGAGGCCGTCATCCTTTCCATGTTGTAGATGTCTTCTACCCTAGCGATCCACTGTTCTAGTGAGGGTGTCAACGTGGTTTTCCAGTGTGTGGGGATAAGCGTCTTAGCCGCTGTGAGCAGATGTATAGTGAGCCCTCTTTTGTAGGCTGTCAGTGGTGTGTGCGTATGGTTTAGCAACATCGTCAGGGGTTGTAGTGGAAGTTCAGTGCCTGTGATATCTACTATTGTGCGGTTTATCGTTTGCCAGTAGGGGGCTATAAGGGGACATGTCCACCAGATGTGGTATGCTGTGCCCCTTTCAGTTCCGCATCTCCAGCAGTCGTCGGGGATCGTGTCATGGATATGTCCTAGGATATCCGGGGTCCTGTACCAGTGCGTTAGGATTTTATAGTTGCACTCTTGGTACTTTGAGCTTATGTTTCCCTTATGCGTCAGTAGGAAGATTTTGTTCCATTCCATGTCCGTGAGCTCTGTCCCCGTTTCTATTTCCCACCGCCTCGTGAAGCCCAAGGCGTCCTTATCTCCACTGTTCATTAGAGCGGTATATAGAGTTGATACGCCATGTGCGATGTGTTGCCGGGCCGTGCATAGTTGTTCCAGATACAAGAGGGGACGGTGTACGTGATCCTTCCCCTTGATAGCGTTGTAGTAAGCTTTGAGCTGGTGGTAATGAAACTCGTCCAGTCTGGTAGGTCTATGGTCCTGTACCAGTTCTGTCAAGGGCTTCAGGCTCCGGCCACTGCACCATTGGTGTAGGTAGACCCAATCCGTCGCCTGAAAGTTTTTAAGGGCAGTAGGAGTTAGTCCGTCAGCTAGCTGGGGGTTGTTGGTTATGGGTGTGAGCGGGTTGGGGGATGTGGTGAGCTGCTTGGTATATCTTATTCCGCACCAGACCCTGAGGGTGGCGTCTATCATTGGGTTGCCTGTGCTTATTTCTCTAAGCGTGGCCTCTCCCAACCACAGCACGGCAGGGATCTTCCCCTGTGCTTGTTGGAGCTCCATGTCCACCCATTGCTTAGTGTTGGGGTTGGCATGCCAATCCACCAGTCTATGTAGGTGGGTTGCCTGGTAATACATGAGTACGGACGGGAGTCCCATGCCACCGTCGCTCTTTGGTCGCTCCAAAATCGTTCTCCGGACCCGTGTGGGTTTTTTGTTCCAGACAAACTGTCTGATATCGGTCGTTAGCCTCTGGAAGAAGACTCTGGGGACAGTGGTAGGCAGCGTCTGAAATAAGTATAGAACGCGCGGCATGATGTTCATTTTTATAACGCTTATGCGACCGAACCACGATATGTATTTGGACGTCCATCGTTTGAGGTCTTGTTGTAACGATGCAAGGAGAGGAGTAAAGTTCAGTTGGTAGATCTGCGAGAGCTCTTTCGGCAACCAGACTCCGAGGTATCGGAGCTTTGTTGTGCAGATTTTAAATGCGAAGTGTGCTTCAAAGTGTCGTGTCAGGGTCAGGTTTTGTGCCACCGGCATTGCCTCTGATTTTTCTAGGTTAAGTTTTAGATTAGAGACTTTGCTGTATTGTTTGAACGCCTCGAGCAGATTCGGGGTCGAGATTCTAGGCTGTTCCAGGAAGAAAAGCATGTCGTCCGCGTATGCCGCGACCCGGTTTTCCGTTCCGCCTAGGCGAGTCCCCGTTATGCCCCCGTCCTGTCTGACCGCCTCCAGAAAGGGTTCGAGAGTGAGGGCAAACAGAAGGGGTGACAGAGGGCATCCCTGGCGGGTACCATTATGGATGCTAAATGTTTTTGTCAGTGCTCCATTGACCCGAATACGCGCCGTTGGGACCGTGTATAATGCGGCCACCCATGCTCGCATGTGGGTACCAAAGCCCATGTGGCGTAGCGTCTCCGCGAGGAATGTCCAGTCCACCCTGTCAAACGCCTTTTCGGCATCCGTCGACAGGAGCACCACCTCCCGTTTTCCAATCTTGGCTGCGTGTATAACATTGAGGGCTCTGATGGTGTTGTCCCTGGCCTCCCTCCCGGGTATGAAGCCGACTTGGTCGAGGTGTACCAAGTCGGGTAGGAAATGAGAGAGCCGTAGTGCCATTGCCTTTGCGAATATCTTCAGATCCGCATTTAGTAAGGAGATTGGGCGGAAGCTGGCGCAGTTCGTGGGGTCTTTACCCTCTTTTGGGAGGACCGTGATTGTGGCTCTCAGGGTGTCCGTAGGGAAGTGGCCATCTGTTTGAATTGAGTTGAGACCCGTGAGGAGTCTCGGCAATAGGATGTCTCTGAAGGTGCGGTGGTATGATAGCGGTAGCCCTTCCGGGCCTGGTGCCCGGTGCGGCTTTGAGGCTTTCATGGCGCCGGCCAGTTCTTCAATCGTCAGAGGTTGGTCCAGCTCCGCTGCCTGTTCCGGGGCAAGTTTTCTGGCCACATGATTTTCAAGGTATGTCCGGACTCGGTCCTTATGACGCTGTTCCGCAGGGCCCTCCCGGGCTCGAGCTTGTGTATAGAGTGTCGCATAGTAATCTTGGAAAGCCTCGAGGATGCCTTCCGGTAGGCGCGTGACTTCTCCCTCTCGTGTGTGTATTTTATGGATGTGTTGTGCTCTCCTCTTGTCTTGTAGCATCCTCGCCAGCAACCTGCCGCTCTTATTGGAATGTTCATAGAAGAACCTGGCTGATTTTCTAGCTGTGTGTAGTTGTCCCTGTGATAGTATGTCTCGAAGTTCTCTGCGAGCGATCGTGAGGTGTAGGTATGTGTCTTCTTCCAGCGTGTGTTTATGTTCGCATTCTAGTTCGGCTATGCGCTTCGTTAAAGTGATGAGGCGTGCGGATCGGTCTTTTTTGCGTCTAGTACTCTCTGCGATGAGACGGCCCCTGATGACGCATTTATGCGCTTCCCAGAGTACCAGTGGTGAGGTCTCCGAGTTCTCATTGTCAGCGAAATATTGGGTCAGGGTGTCGATAACCATGGTCTTAAGTGCGAGGTCATCAAGTAGGGATTCGTTGAGTTTCCACTGTCTTTCTCGAGGTTTAAACAGTGGAGAACTGATGTGCGCCACCACGGGAGCATGGTCGGAATAGTCCAGTAGTTCGATATCGGCCTTGTGCAGTAGGTTCAAATATTCTTGCGCTAGAAATATATAATCGATGCGGCTGTAGTGCGAGTGGACCGCTGAGTAGTGGGTGTAGTCCCGATCGTCTGGATGGCTCACTCTCCAGCTGTCCACCAGCCCCTGCCTGTTCAGCGCCCGCATTATTGTGCGTACACAGTGCGCTGGTACCGTGCTCACACCTCTGGAGGTGTCCAGACGGGGGTCTAGCGGTACGTTCAAATCCCCCGCCATCACCAGCATGCCTTCCCTAAAGCTTTACAGTTTAGCTAGTGTCCTGCTGATGAAGGTGTGTTGCCTTCTGTTGGGGCTATATATGTTAACGAAGGTATACGTGTAGTCAGCTATAGAGCCCTTAATGAAAAGGTAGCGCCCGTTGGGGTCTGTCATCGCCGCCGTGAGTTGGAACGGTACTGTGTGTGCAAACAATATCGCCACCCCTGCCTTTTTAGCGTCCGGGTGATTTGCATAGAATCCTAGTGGGAAACGTCGGTTCTCTAATTTGGGAGCCTCGTTTCCTCTGAGGTACGTCTCCTGTAAGAACGCCACCGACGCCCTCGCTGTCCAGAGCTTGCTGAGCAGGCCTGTGCGTTTCTCCGGCACATTGAGACCTTGGACATTATTCGACCAGAGCGTTAGCAGGGCCGACGCGAAGCCCCTTGTAGCTGCGGCCGCAGCGAGGGGGCTGCCCCGCCCCGGGGCGGGCATGGGGGGGAAGGAGAAAGAGAGAGAGAGAGAAAGAGGAGGAAAGAAAGAAAGAAAAAAGAAAAAAATTCTGTTGTCAGGGGTAGGTCCGGTCTGTGTCCGTCCGGTCGTCTGAGTGTTGGGTTCAGGAGAGAGTGTGGTGTGACTTTGTCCCGGTACCGGTTGTGGTCGTGTATTCTGCGACCCCGGTATTATATACAGAGTGGGTCTGTCACAGTGAGGTTCAGTGTAGCCACCGAGGGAGGTGAGTTGTTGGTTGTATTTGTGTCCAGTCTACGAACTCCCCTTATGGCTCCCAACCTGCGGGTGCTATATGCATTATTTTAAGTAGCTTGTCTTAGCTGTGGGGCTATCTTGACGTCCGCCCTGCTGTACATACGTGCTAACCCAATCCATATAAGGGCTTGAACGGGAGGTGTAACCTGCTGTGCGTCCGGCTGGGCCCACCCCTCCCCCCTCCTCGGCTCCTCCCAGTGTGTTCCCGCTCCTCAGGTTGGCTGAAGTGTTCGCCTCCGCCTCCTAGCTCCCCAGGCCTTCCTGTTCCTTACCCTGTGTGCTCCACAGGTGTACCCTCCCAGTCTAGGCCCGCGTCTGGGGGGGTCAAACTGGGTGTCTTTACCCTAGTTGGTAAAGTTGACCTCAGGGTGCCCTAGCTCCATACCCCAGGTCTCTGTCTCCCCGCCCCCTTCTCCCGTCGCCCCCTGGTTCCATCTTTGCTGCCTTACCTAGTGTGTGTAGCAATTGTGTGTTTGCTAGCAACTTGCCATGCTGTATGTCTATTAAACCATATATAAACAAATCATGCTGTCTTTAACTTTTAACTGTCAGGCCTCTGCGGCGGCCCTCGCCTTTCTGCTTCTCCTGCCTCCCCCTGTTGATTGATCAGCTTGGGTCGCCACTTACACCCCGACCCGCCCCCGCCCCCATCCCTCCCGCAAAGCCCCTCATGCCTGTAAGTTACCCGTGAAATTGGGCCAGTGTTCAAGTTCGTATTCGACCCCACAGACGGCCTAGGGCCTTCAGCCGCGGCCCCCTTTGCGTCCCAGCCCTCCAGGCGGGCCTGTCCCCAGACCCCTGCATGCATACCATGTGCCTCGTACCCCACCCCACCTCAGGGGGACCCCGGGTAAGAAGCCAGTGATTCCCCCTATTGGTTGGTCTCCCCCTCCCCTCTGCGCTTCTCCGTGCAGGCTCCGTCCCTCCCAACCTGAGGGGGTCCCCTGCTGGCTTTTCCCTTAGGCTGAGGGGTGAGAAACTAACTTGGCCGGGCTCCCGAGCCAGTACATACCCGCCTGATCGCGGCTTGAAACCTTGGAAGGGCGCGGTGAGTGCCACCGGCCGTCGTGCGGGCGCTGGTGCAGTCGGGGTACCGGGGCGGGCGTCTCGTGCGGGGGTGGCTCCTCAGCTGGTACTATTCTTTGGGGCCTTCAGGGCCTCCTCTTCGCCGTGGAGTCCCTGGGTGCGGGCGGAGGTTGTGCGCTGCGTCCGACGGTCCAGTTGATCGGGCCGGAGGGTGATCTAGGATCCAGTTCGGGACTGGTACTTCAGGTAAGCCGGCCGTCCGGAGGAAGCGGGGAACATCGTTGGGCCAACGAATAACATGCCAGATGTTCCCGATTTTGGCCTGGAGGCTAAAAGGGAACCCCCATTTGTAGACTATTCTCCTTTCTTGTAGGAGACGTGTTAGTGGCCTCAGGGCCCGTCGGGCGTCCAGCGTGATAATGGATAGGTCCTGGAAGAGGGAGATCTCGGCGTCCATGTAGGTGACATGCGGCCGTGCCCTGGCGGTTCTCATAAGGGCCTCCTTCAGTTGGAATGACACCAGGGAGCAGACGATGTCTCTGGGTTGACCGTCTCTCCTGGGGGCCCTCAAGGCTCGATGTGCCCTTTCTATGCCGAATTCTGGTGGGGCCTGGTCCCCCAGGAGGTGCGTGAATAGGCCCGTGAGGATCTCCTGCAGGATTTCCCCCTCCGCCTCTGGCAGGCCCCGGATTCTGATGTTGTTCCGACGGCCTCTATTATCCAGCTCCTCAATTTGCCGGCGTAGGTCAAGGAGTATGTTGCCCTGCCTCGTGGTGGCCAGGTCCGCGGCCTGCTGATGCTGTGCGGCTTGCAATTGCGTTTCTTCCAGGGTATCCACCCTCTGTTCCAGGGCGGCGAGGTCATTGCGGACTGCTGCCACTTCTTCCCTTATAATTGCGCGCAGCTCGGCCACCATTTCAGTTTTGTCTCTGCGTGTCAGCATGCTTGCGGAGATCGCAGCCAGATCTGCCGATATCTGTGATAAGGTGCCTACTGCGGGCGAGTCCTGTGCCAATCCCATCACGCTGGAGCCTGGGAAGGAGGGAGTCTGCATGCTCGTGTCCCCGGAGCCCCGAAGGTCGGGCGGCACCGACAGGAATTCGTCCATCGGGCCCGGCGTCTGCCGCGCCGGGGTCGCACCGGGTGGCCCTGCGGCGGTTAGTCGCCTGTTTTTCCCCATTTGTGCGGTTTTTGTAGGAAATTATAGCTTGTGTATTGGGCTTAGCAGGTTGGGGCCTAGGAGCTCGAGTTAGGTGCGTCTTACTCCATCGGTAGTCAGGCCACGCCCCCACCCCTGGATATTTATTAGTGCAGAGTAGAATGATCTATTATATAATACATAAACAGGACATGGGACACAATCTGAAAAAAAAAATTCTAATATTTCTCATTATGTACTCAAACCATTAAAGAACAGTTTATATTATATAAGTCTCTTCGGTAGAGTGATTCTTATAGCAGACAGGCTTAATAAAGGAACATTTATTATGAACAAAAATAAGTGCGTACAAATACTAAATATGTTACAAACAAATTTACACCATACAAATACAAATAAAAATACATTTAACAGGAAAGCCCCTAACACTCTGCTGGCAAAGTACCAGTATTTCTGTCCCAAGAGAGCATTTGGTAAGGAGATGGGAAATTGCTAATTTAATTTGTCTTTTAATATGGGTTACAGCATTTTTAGATTTATTCAGATTACATACACTTTATGTCTAATTTCAGGATCTAGGCCGGTACGGTCTCTACTCCTTCAAAATAAATCATTAAAAACTCACTTTTTGACAAAAGCATATCAATTAAACTGTTAATGGCTCCAAAAAAAAAACCCAAAACCCCACACAAAGTCTTCATTGAATACTATTCTACCAATCTACTTCCCTAATACTTCCCTTACCTTTTGTGTCATTTTACCCCACTCCCTCTAGCATGTAAGCTCATGGAGCAGAGCCCTCAACCCCTCTGTTCCTGTGTGTCCAACTTATCTGGTTATAACTACATGTCTGTTCGTCCACCCATTGCAAAGCGCTACAGAATTGGCGCTATACAAATATAATAATAATAATATGTCTGAAATAGGACAGGAGGCATGATGGAATTCCAATCTTTTGAGTGTTACAGAATGCATCTGACATGCAGTCCTTGTGCCTGTCAAAGCTCTCTGCGACTTGTTCAGCTCTGACCCAGGTAAGATGGCCCACCGATGAATCAGAGCCCTCATTACCTAATTATCTTTTGAACTAGGAGCAATTAGTTTATTCCACCCCTGTTCAAAAAATGTTTGTGAAACAAAGTGTTACTTAAGGATAGGATAAATTAAAACCACCTGCTTAACATAGTGTAGGTTCCCCTCATGCTACCAAAACAGCTCTGATGCATCGAGGCATGGACTCCACAAGACCTCTGAAGGTGTCCTGTGGTATCTGGCACCAAGATCCTTTAGATCCTGCAAGTTGTGAGGTGGGCCCTCCATGGATCGAATTTGTTGTTCCCACACATCCCGAAAATGCTCAGTCGGATGCTGAATCACCTTAAACTCTTTTTCATGTTTTGCAAACCATTCCTGAACAATTTTTGCAGTGTGTCAGGGTGCATTATCCTACTGAAAGAGGCCACTGCCATCAGGGAACACCATTACCATGAAGTGTGTCTGCAAAGATCTCTAGGTTGGTGGTACGTGCCAAAGTAACATCCACTTGAATGCCAGTAGCACATTGCCCAGACCATAACACTGCCTCTGCCCGCCTGCCTACTTCTCATAGATTGTCCTGCTTCCATTTCTTCCCCAGGTAAACACACACGCACCAGCCATTCACCTGATCTAAAAGAAAACGTAATTCATTAGACCAGGCAACCTTTTTCCATTGCTCTGACACTCACGTCCTCATTGAAGATGCTTATGACAGTGGACATGGGTCATCATGGGCACCCTAATCGGTCCATGGCCATTTAGCCCCATATGCAGTAAACTGCAATGCACTGTGTGTTCTATCATGGCCAGCATTATGTTTTTCAGTCATTTGAGCTACAGTAGCTCTTCTATGTAATTGGACCAGACGGATTAGCCTTTACTCCCCATGTGCATCCATGAGGAGTGGGCGCCCATGACCCTGACACCGGCCGGCTCTCCTTCCTTACACTAATTGCCTATTACAATATAAATATATATGGACACCCTTATTTAAAGTCAAAGTAGAAGAAATGGTGAGGTAGAAATTGAAGTAAAATACCAGAATTACAGTGAGGGTGACACAGTTGCTGAATCTGTAACCCCCGTCTGCTGATAATTACACAGAGTTGCTGTTGAAGTAGAAAACTTTCCCTATTTAAATACCCAAGTCTGGGTCAGCAGATTCTTCAAAAACCTCCTACTGGTAATTTGGCTGAGCTATTTCTAAGATAAAAGACTTGCCATCACACAAGTTTGCATTAGCTACATAAAGGTCGCTAGTAAACTGTGTAGAAGGAAAATCAAAAATCAACTAGCATAATTAAAGAAACATGCCATTGCAAAAAATTTATTTAGTGCATATATACACACACACACGCATATATATATATTCACACAAAAAAGACAGCACTCAAAGGACTTCAAAAGATAAAATGATGTGTTTAAATAATACTTCGCTTTTCAATTAAACTGCATAATGAGTAAATAGGCTAATGTTGGAAATTAAGTATCAGGGAGACCTTTAAGCTCCAAATGTAATTGCCTCATGTAACCAAATAGGATCCACACTATAAATGGGAAGAATGGTATCCCTTGAACAACTTAAGATTTAGACAAAAAAAACAGTTAGACAGTGTAATTTATATCCTAGAGGTATGTCTTTCCGTATGAACAAGTATCAGCTGGCAATAAAACACTAAGTCACAGGCTACCAGATGGATACATGTATGAGTAATCAAAACCTAAGCCCAGTGGATGTATCTGTTGATTTTCATGGAGAAGAATATACCAATGGTACATTCTGGGCCATCTGAATTATGGTACTAGACTAGTGAAGAGGCCTAGACTCACAAGAATGCAAAGTATACTTTTCATTAAGGCCTTTAGGCCAAACGTTGTCCAAGGTTCGGATCCAAAATAGTTCACGTTGAAGTAGTGTTTTGCTGCGGCCTCCCCCACGCTTGAGGGAGGAATCTGATCAATGGCCATAAGTTTTAATGATAGCAATAGGTGTCCCATACAAAGGAAATGTTTTGCCACTGGACGTTCAGCCTTATTGTCTAGGTATGCGGTACGGATACTGGATCGATGATTCCGCATAGGTTCCCTCAGTGGCAGGTCGGTTTTGCCCACATTTGTGAGTCCGCATGAGCATTTTAATTTATACACCACATGGTACGATGTACATGTTAACCTGTGTCGTATCTCATACTGTTTGCCTGTATGTGGACAATTGAAGTATTTCCCAGAGATCATGTGGCTGCATGTCACACAGCCCAGGCATCTGTAGCAACCAGTGTTAAAGGAACGTTGATTCTGACTAACAGTGTACAGGGTCCATATTTATAAGGAGATCCCGTAGGCCCAGACCTCTTCGTTAACACATCACAGGAGGATTCTTGAATACAGGTGGAAAGGAGGGATCTTTTTCCAATATATGCCAATTGGACCCAACTGCTGTTCTCAACTTCTGTGATGATGGTGTGTGTGTGTATGTAGTGGGAAATACCAAACTGGGCATCGCTTGTTTTTGAACCCTCTGGTTGTCTAAACATTTTTTGATAGCATTATCTCGAATATATTTCATATTATTTCCTTGAATTTTGTCCACATGTCTTGGATCTGTAATTGTGCTGTTAAAGGATATGAGTTGTTTCTAAGCACCTTTTTACACTGAGAAAAGGGTAAGGACTTCTTAAGGCGCATAGGCTAAAAACATTCTGCATGCTGTAGGGTATTTCTATCTGTAAAAATTTTACATGCCAGTTTATGTTCAGACTTGTAGATGTGAACATCTAAGAAGTCGGCTCCTGCTGTACTCACATTCATTGTTAATTTAACAGGGTGTGGGAGTAGCATTAATGGTATCCACCATTGTAGTCACGGACGCAACAACCCCATTCCAGATCATAAGCACATCATCGATGTAGCGGTGGTAAAACAAGATGTTATTCTTGTACGGTTGTAGGATGTGTGTTTCAAAAATATACATGAACCCATTTGAGTACATTGAGGCCATCGCCGCTCTCATCGATGTACCAGAGATTTTTGTACCAGCTGTTTTCAAAGCGGAAGTAATTCTGGGTGAGAACCAGTTGTAGGATCTCCATAATGTATTCTACTGGAGGTCCAGTGTAGGTATTTGATGTGCTAAGAATCTGTCGCATAGCATCGATTCCTGCTTGATGGGGTATCACTGTGGTGTTATAATTTCATCTTGAAGTATTCTCAGGAAAGATTGGATCCAGATTCTAATGAAAGTCCCGGTACAAGACTGAAACATTGATCCCTGGACCATCAATAAAGAAATGTATTCTATTCAACAAAACCGTGAGTGCAGCCCTAACATTTGAAATATATAAATATATAAGCAAAAAACAAAAAGGTTATGGTAAGGAAGAAATTGTGATTGAAAACCTCTTCCACCTGAAGTCTGTGGATAGTTAAAGGGATTCTCCAGTGCCAGGAAAACATTTGTTTTCCTGGCAATGCAGGACCTCTCCCTTCCAACCCCCAATACCAAGTTGCTGAAGGGGTTAAAACTCGGTGCTGGGTCAGGCTCCGCCTACTCTCCTCCCCTGCCAACATCAGCCGGTGGGGGAGACCTAATATGCATGTGCGGCCGTCGGCAAAAAAACAAACAAACAGACTACTTACAATACAAATACCATGCTACCTACAGCAAATCAAAACCTAAAAACTAAATTAGCGCTTCTCTTATTATTCCTGTGTTTGATATTTTTGTACAAATCATAGGCTTTACTTTCTGGTGACTTACTTCTAACATTGCCCCCCAATAAACAAAACAGGACACACACTCACCTCATCTATGTCACAGCATCGTGGGAAATGTAGTATGCACAAAATTAAATATACCAACATATTGCCCAATAAATGTATGGATTATTTAATCATTGGTTTTATTGCCATCTCTTCCTGGAAGTAATAGCCTTACACTGATCTGTTACATGATTAATTGGGGGATCTTGGGAAAATGAGTCAAATCCATATTCTAACAGAGCCTTCCGAAAGACAGGATTAAATATATTTAAAACTTAACTAACAAGTGGACACAATGTATTAACAGAATATTGAGACTACGTAAAAAAATAACTAAAATATGCACAAGCATTATAATCTTTTTGCAATAGTAGCTTTTCAAATGTATTTTACAATTGTGCCACCTAGTGTTTAGTCATAGGAAACGCATTTCTCTACAGTTGGATCTTGCTTTGGAAGCAGTGCATGGAGTAATAACCATTAACCAATCCAATGGGACAGATGGAACAAAGATAACATTTCACAACTATTACACCTTTAGAGGGGAAAAGGTTTAAAATAATATCAGGAAGTATTACTTTCCAGCTGAAGTAAGGCTATCCTAACTATAAGATAAGGCAAGGGACTAATGAAAGTATTAAGAAAATTGGGCAGACTAGAATGGCCGAATGGTTCTTATCTGCCGTCCCATTCTTTGTTTCTAGGTTTCTATTGCACATAAAGTGAAATAAAACTATTTACTTACTATTCTTGATTGGTAAAAGGCCCAATGTATCCAGGATTCCAATACATTTTTGGAAGTAATAGGACAGATATTACAAGTAGGGATTTATGATTTTAAAGCTAAAATATTACAGCTGAAAAGTATATATTTATGGAAAGTAGACCCCTTTCAGGGTTTTAAATAAAAGCATGTTTACAGTTTCCATTTGACCAATATATCACTGTCTGCCAAATCGAATGGTTATATTATTTTTTCTACTTTTTACACACTGTTAATTTTTGTGGGGAATTTAAAAGAGGGGTATCTGTCTATTAAGTAAACGGACACTAAATGTGTAAATATACTTCTAACCTTCTCGAACTCTAGTTATCTGTAGTCAACCTCATAGAAACCCCTAATAACGAGCTGTTTGGTGAATTGGACCCGAGGCTGAATGCTGACTGTGATGAGCTCCCAGGGCTATTAAGCAGCCTGGAAACCCATCAATGACTTTTGCTGGACTGTGTCACTAGTGAGGCAGACAGCAATAACCCGTTGATAACAGATCCCAGAATGCACAGCTGCAGCTGTTAATCATAGTATAGGACTACTGTGACCTACTGCCATTTACTGTAACTTACTGTGAGATATCGAGAAATCATTCGGCAGAAACTGGCTTTCTGGCTACACTGTAAATGGCTACTATACAGGACAAAGCAGTAGTCCCAATCTGCATCAAAAAGGGGCTAAACAGAAACTGTAGCTTCCCACTGTATAATATCATGTTGGCTTATTCCATATATTAAAGAAATGTGTGTGCATGTGAATCCGGATATAAAATATAAATGTAGAAATTCACACCTCTTTATTTACCAAGTAAGCCCCTCCATGAGCTCCCTTTCAGTCACTGATCAGAGTGTTTCAAGGAGGAGAAATAGAAAACAAATATTGTTATTTCTTTGAAAAGAATACAGAGCATCACATGAAAAAGGGGCTAACACAAGTTATATGTGATTTTCACTTTTATTCAATGGTGTCATTTCCAGACAAGTGCATTTTTTTTTTATTAATCTGGTGAAAATGTAACATTCCTGCCAGCGGCAGTACTATCGCTGGTACAGCATGTGGGGCTGCACTGTAGCACACACCCCTTGGGGGCCCATCGGATGGCCAAGGCACTTAGGGCCACCTGACGGGCATGTGTCATCTGGGGCCGTGCGATGCAGCCCTTTAAAAGCGCAACTAGGACCCTTTAATATCGGCAGCACTGAGAGGTAGTGAGACAGTCACTTGTCTGTGTTCTGTCAAAATCTAGAGTATTTTATTTTCTCTTTTAGAAATGTATTGTAGCAATAAATAGGCTGGCATACATTATAAAAAAAC